AAAAAAAGGCTTTTTCTAGAATGTTAAAGTTTGTGGATGATCTGGATTTATAGGAAGGTTACATAAGTTTTTTTAGTCATATCGCGATTTTCATGCTGATCTTTTTCCTGATACACGGGGTACGAGTGCGGGATGCTCTTCGACTGAGTGGCTAGAGGGCTCCAATGCTCTTGTAAGTTTTATTATTGTCTAAAGTGCTCTCGGACACAAAAATTTCGTTTCATCCAGAACATTTTTGCTAAGGAGCATTGTTGTGTTTAGGCGCGTGCTAAGGAAATATAATAGCTTATTATAGTGTTATTTTTGAAATTAAAATTGTAAATTTAAAGATAGGTCCATCCCCACTTTTTGTATGGTTGATCATATAATTGGCTTCCATGATATCAAAATTGAGTTGCAGCCGCCCTTGGTGTCCCTTGCTCCAAACGCTGCTCCAGTGCTCACGTCGCCAGTGCAGAGTACAGATCAGATGTTATCCACTTCTTCGACAGCCGTTTCTTCTCCACCTCTGCCAGAAATAACCCCAATTACTACAAAATCTGCACAACTACAAATATCTCCTGTGCTAACTAAGCAACCAGCCGAGCTGGCGGAGTCGCACGTTTCACTTTCTCCAATCCATACTTCTCGAACCATTAATGAAGAAGTTCGTTATGATCTGGTACTTATCGTCCAAGATTATCACCCGTTCTAGCATTGTTGCTTTCAGCCTGCGCGAGAAACGAATAATTTGAAAGAGGATGTAAAGGAACTGGTTTATTCGGTTGGCGATGTTGCTGAGAAGGAAAATGAAATAAGTGATACAACCAAAGAGGTATGTTTTTATGATATCATACGCCGTGTGACAAACTCGGCAACTCCCAGCTCAAACACTTTGAGCTAGAATGTCTACATTGTAAGAGTATTAACACTTTAGATAACTTATCATACGACAGTCTGACTTGTCTGGAAAACTTAATATTCTCCGATAGTCAACTGCAAACGAAACTTACCTACTTTGGAATTTGATTAGGTCTATTTGACGATTACTATTCAGCTGCTGCCTAATGTTAATTGATTGTATAATCAACAACCTAGACAAACTATATTATGTTAACATGATACTGTACAAGCGTTATAGAGATTTATAGTTGTTTCTTTCTAAAGGGATAAACTAAAGTTGTGAATCAAGGTTATCAAGGCTAGCTATTATACATTGGATCGAATCGAATAATTTTGAGTAAGACATTTGGATTTATATCGAAATCTTTTCGAATAATTCGAAAATTCGAG